CATCACCATTTAAGGCAAAATATTCTAGAAAACACATTGCTCTAAATAGAGTATTCCAAGTTCTAAGTCTACTTCTCTGAAGCAAAGGTTAACTATTTGAATTTACTCTCCATGGTGGAAGAACTTGAGATGTCCTAAGAGAAATATTTAAACTAAGGAGAGAGGCAGAAAATATCAATTGATTTTGGTGAAATGAGTCCATAAAAATGCAGTGCTTGGAACAATTTCAAGAAAAAAAATTAGCAGGCCCAATAATGATTTAAGCAAGATATGAAGTATTTGCAAATACATCTGTATTGCTGCAGATAATTTCTTTCTATTTAAGAGTTTTTACTCTAGTAAAAGTCTGTATCAAAATGACACAGTCACTTGTTACTTGTGGGGTTCCTAACATACACAAGGGTAATAATTCCCTCTTCTTTCTTTTTGTCAGATATCTGTAATTAAATTAGCAATTTAAGATTCTTGACCATGCAATGTAGCATTCGTGTGTCTCACTTTAAATTTTCTCTGAGAAAGTAACTGGTCCAATGCCCTCTGACAACTCGAAGTATCTACAAAGCAAATGAAATTTAGGAAGTACTACAATGACTAGAAAATGCTGTGAGAGAGTATAATGGACATATCAGCAGAGGATAATTGCTACAATTGAGGCAAGTTCCCATGAAATTCCAGGGAGAAAAGTAAAAACTTGTAAATTTTTTGCATTTATTCAGAAAGAGAAAATGAAATTATCTGAAAACATCCAAAGATACTGGGACATGAACAAAAACTGTGTGAATGTCATACCCTAAACTTGCCTATCCAAACAGAAGCCAACTTGTTACTGAGAGACGAGCTAGGAAATTTTAATTTAATTTGGTGATTGCCAAATGTAAAAAATTAGCAAGATTTCATATGAAGTCTCCTATTCACCAACAAAAATAGATGCAGTACAGAAAGACTGAGAGAGAGCTACCTTCATTATTAGTAGTGCTCTTCACATCTCAATGGAATTGTAGAGTGATACAGAGCTCATTTGCTGACTTTCAGCAGGACTTTACAAGGCCTATACCATTAGTTTCACATGGGGCTGAATTCTCTATGGGAAGAAAATATATCCACTAGGCCATGTAGGTCTTTTTATCTCAGGAAAGCAGTACTAATAAAGGGAAAATAAAAAACCTCTCACAAATACAACCCACTAAAATAATAATCACTCAAAGCTACTCAGAATATTTATGAAGTTGACATGGAATCTGCCAAGCATTGAGATTTTGCAGATTTCTGGAGATGACTGTGCCTTCTCAGTCTGAAAGAAATGTAAAGACTAATTATTTATGGGACAACCAATTATTTTGTACTGTAAGTCTAAGACTGAACTTCATGCAATGCCTATTAGTTGAGCAGGCAAGACAGTGGAGCAGTTCCTTTTGGAGTGGAATGAAGCCAAAGAGTTGAATGGAGAAGTCCCCTTAATGAGAATGATTCACTAACACAGACACAATGATGCTCAATTTACCTAGGCACTATACAAATGACCATCAAATGTTTCAAGAGACAGAAAATAACCTTTAAATTGTGACTGGTTTGAAGCAGAGGGGTCTGGAGATGCTCAGTTTTACAATTTTTAAGAAAAAATTGATTTTTCTTTTTCTTCTGACAGTGATTGAAATTATAAAGTCAAAGGAGGATGGATGTGCTTTTGCTTTCAGAAGGTACAGAGTCTCCAAAGTGCCCCGTGTGCCCTCCTTTCCTTGCAAATGTAGCACTGCTTTCCTGCTGCATTGTTGGTCTGTGACAGCTTAGATGTGTGACTCTTGGCTAGATTCAAACATCCAGGTAAACAACTCTCTTGCAATTTTTTTCCAACTTACAACAACAATAAAAAAATCCAAAACCTGACAACAACAAAAACCAAATTAAAAAAAAAAATCCAGCTGCATTTACATCTCATCTGCCAAGAAGAAATTCAAAATTAATGTTTGAGATAACTCTTTGGGAAGGTATAACTAATTCATAGCCCATGCTTTATTCTGGGATGAAAGCCAGAGCTATGGCTCCCAGTCTTTCTAAGGGGTTATTCAACATCAAGTGAAAACTGCCTACCCCAGAACTTCCATCATAACTGGGTAACCAGGCAAAACTGCCCCTGCAGCACTTGAGCATTTTATTCTCCAAACATGCTAATCTCACGAACATACACCCCACAGAATGCATGGTGACACACCACCAGGATCACATCTCAGGGAACCCAGCAGAGAAAGACAGCTTGGATGGACGAGAGCTGCCAAAATGATTTGTCTGGTTGATAATCCCACTGCCTCAGGCCAGTAGCACATGGCCAACAGCCAGGCTGATTTCTTGATGGGCCTCATGCAACCCTCTATTAGCTGATAAACTTGAACCAGAGCATTAGAGCTTGGATGAGAGGAGTGGACAAAAATGCAAAAAAAAACTTTTCAGTTCACTGCTACATCTGAAAGAATCCATCTGAAAATCCAAAATCAATGTAATTTAACCCTAAAAGGATTGATCCGTTTTCCCTCTCAGTAAGATCACGCCTTTGAGCAGCAGAGGTTAATAACAGATAGTGTTGCATATTTCCACTAATGTTCTCCAGTTCTTAGTTTTTTAACTGATATCCATAAAGAGGTCACAGCAATAAACTAGAGATGATTCTTCTTCTATGCCAATTACTGAGATGTTGGGAGGATCTTTTTCAGGATAATTGTGATTTTCCAGGTACATTAAGAGACTTGATTTTCATTCCTGCTTTATGCAAGACACTGCTATCTTTACTGAGAGGCCTAAATACAGGTTCATAACACAGATGTAGAAACAGAGTACAAGCATTAACAGGAATCTACAACAAGAAGAAACCAGGAGCTAATAATTTTTTGCACTGGGTAAAATGTAAATGATCCCTTGAATTGACCCCACTGCTAAGGTGATCATGTTTGTGCCCTGGCTTCTTAAGAAGAAGAGGAATAAATACAACAAATCTTTTAATTATGGATTTAAAGAGTGTCCTACTTTAATAACAAGGCACAAAAAGCCTCTTTTATGTGGACCAAATACTCTATGACAAGTTCTAATTACCTGTGTTTCGAGATACAAAATCTGCCTCCCAAAACTTGAAGACAAAATGGGATCTTACAGATACTTCATGCATAGTTGAGTGAGTTCAGTTAATGGTTCAATGACTTTTCCCAAGCTGCATTCTGCTCTATCTGCATCTAAATAGTACTCAGGTAAATTAAAACCCTTAATACAGTCACTTCCCAAATAATCCTTGCAACTAAATTCCATCTGACAACAACACAAGAGAAACATAGTAGACAATCTTTTCACATGGACATCTTCTTCAAGAAACTAAAAGCTGATTCATGTCTTTTAAGAAAGCATCAAAAGTTACAGACATTAAAATCCAATTTCAATGTGTCTCTTGAAATAAGAGATAACAAGAAGTAAATAAGCATGCTATCTTATCAAGATCCCTATTTTGATGGCCAACATTGTTCATACTGAATACCCAGTACATTCCTGATTATTTAAAGATTTAAAAAAATAAGAAAAAAAAAAGGAAATAATTTTCATTTTATAGCTGTCATTCTTTACCATTCAGCTTTCTGTCTCAAGCAGGCTCTGTAAGAATATTCTACTTTAACACTGGATCTAATGATGTGTCCTCTCTGAGACAACTGGGAATGTGACCATGGAGCACAGTGGCTTTTACTGACAGAGCCAGCCTCACCGACTCCTTGCTATTCACACTCCTTCCATTGGGTGTTGCTGTGATATTAAACAGATTACTGCTGGGACTCAAAGTGTGCACACAGAAAGGCAAGCCAAAGGTTAAAGTTCTCTGCCTATGGTGCTCAGCCCATTGTTCTACACAGCCCAAGTTTGTTGTGCTTAAAAAGTTGGTGGTGTAATTCATTAGCTGGTGCTGAGAAAAATTGTCAGTGACTACTTTTGAAAGTGCAGTCCTAAAATGGAGTCTTTCAGCTTGCACTAAAAGCTTTATATACTTTCATGAAGGTGATCTGACTAAAATTTATATGTACATTGCAGCATTCAATTACTGTACACTGTAGCTGTGCAGATGGCTTTCTTTTAATTAGAGTATTTAGTGCATCTTCTGCATAAAGAACCAGGCAATGAATAAGAAGAAATTTAATGAAAGTAGCCAAAAAAGGAAATAGTTTAAAGGAAACTAGGGGGGAAAAAAAAAAGGTGAGATAATGACTTAGGACACAATTCTTGCAAGTATTTCCTGCTCATTTAATGCAGCCTTTCAGAAAACCCAGAGGAGAAATCTTTGCAAATTTGTGGCCTTGGAGAGGTCTTGCCAAGCAGTAAGTATTAAGCAACTGATCACTAAACTTTGCACATCTGATGAACGCACTGATGATAGCTGAAGATTTGAAAAGCAAAGTAACTGAAACTTGGCTTTCAGCGTGGCACAGACACACCAGTGAATGTGTTCCAAGGGTATTGTGAGAAAGTGTCAGAATTTCATTAAGTTACAGTGAGAAAAAAATGATATAAAATAATTTCATATTTTAAATATCCTCAGTATTAACAGCTACTGCTGTTAATCTGAAATCCTGGATAATTTCTAATCAATAATGAAGATGCTAGGCTTATATTCTTATATAAGTTGTATTCCTAGTTTGTTAGAAAATCATTGGCATTTAGTTATGTGGCCTCTATCCTAACTGGGGAAAAAAAAAAAACAACAAAAAACCACCAACATTCAAAAGGAAAAAACACAGTGAGACAACATGAATTTTATATGTTCTTAAATTTGCTGCTGGCAGGCATAAATGCTTAAAACATACAAACCTGGGTAAGAAAAAGCTTCTATGGGTCATAAAGGACAGGCTTCAGCCAGGGAAGTTATACACCCTCTTAGCAGGGGTAGTAATTTAAGTCACTCTCAAGATAAATTCCAGTATTTCTGTATTCTAAGCTCTTCAGTGAATTTTAAATTTTGCAGTGATGGCTAGACTTACCTGGTAGACCGGGTGGGGTTTTCAGATATTTGCCATTAAAATGCTGAATTACTACTTCACATTTTTCTGTAGACTCCATTCTGGAAAAGAGAAGAGAGTGGGATATGGGTAGAGGCAATATGTGTGCTGGATTGTTATGGAAGCACTCAGTCAGCAAAAAACAAAAAGCAGAAGGAGAAAAAAAGGACAAGCACAGATGCTGAGAGACATCTTCATAGCTGCTGCTGCTGATTTCTGCAGAGAAACTGGTTGAGCCCATTTAGGACAGAGTGTGGCTCCCGAGGAGGACCTGCCACCCTCCCTGCCTGCAGCTGCACTTCCAGCTGTGTTTGAGCCACAGGCCTGTCAATGAACAGTCCTCTTCTGGCTCCAGGGCATCACCCTGAACAAGGACATCCTTTGTGCTCTCACGTGCTGCCTGAAAAAGCAATGGACACATTTCTAGATTCCTTGTGCACCCAAAATAACTTCAAATGGCTTAAAGAAATGAATTGCAGGATTTGGAGAGGAACACGGAGGATTAAACAACAATTATTAAGGATTACAATGTTAAGAAATCAACCTGCAAAGACAGACTTTGCAGTAAAACCAAAGACAATGCATATATGACTATTACAACACAAAGCCAAATTCTGGGCAAAGACAGTAATTTATGTGTAACACCGGCAGGGGAATTGCCTTACTGTTCCTCTACTATGAGTTCAGGCTAACTTTCAGAGTTGAGACATTAAAGCATTAACAGTGAATCAGTAAGTGTATTTTTGAAGAATGTTTAGGAACATAAAATTACTTGTCAAATCCCAAACCATGGTTATACCATATCTGGGAACTCACCATTGTTCCACATCTTCTAAATTAAGTGTGTACAAGTCCAGAAAAACTTTGCTACAGAGGGGCTTTAGAAACTTTGAAAAGAGGGAAGAGAGAAATGGAAAGCTAGTAATTTCCTAGAAAAGTTGTGTTTAAAGCCATGTTCAATGCTCCTTCAATACACCAGTACCTACCTCCAGGTAGTCACAAAATAACTCTGCTGACCGATATATTGCTTACCTATCACCTGTCTACATTGTTTCAAAATGAATTTATCCACTACCCTGTCACACAGTTTGGGGAAACAGTGGTTCACATACAGCAGCAGTTTGTCTCCCAGGATACAATTTTACCAGAGTCCATAGGGCCACAGGCCACACCACACCACCAAAAAAAAAACCAAACAACAAAACCCAAACGAAAACAAACAAACAAACACAAAAAAACCCAAACCCATTTAATTATTTGAGTAAGTCAGTCTCTTGTCCAATTGTTTCAGGTGAAGTTATTAAAACTTTCCCCTTCCATACTGTATCATGGTTTATCATGTGGGCTGGGCCATTTCTACAAGCACAAAGACAGCTACTTAGATTGTTCACTTTGGCTTCATTCAGATTTAACTAAGCGAATGTCTGCGCTGAGCCTTTAGAGACTCTTGTCTCTGAAAGAATAAATGCAATAAAAGTCTGTTTTCTGTAGCTGCAGGCACTTGGTGTCAAACCATGTTATGTTGCACCACACAGCAGTGACAATTTCATTTTAATACACGGGGTACATTTTAACAAGCCAAAGCAATCCCTGCAAAGAATGCAATATATAAGATGCCAAATGAAAGAGACTCAGTGCACTTCATGCGTTTTATGTGGGAAGAGAATAAAAGTGAAACCCACAGTGCTCTGGGATAAAAAGCCCATCATTCGAATAGCACTCTGAAAAAGAATGTGCACATTTTCCTCTCAAGTTTCACAATTAACGGCTCTCAAATGCCATTGCTGGCTATCTGTAATCTGGCACACGCTTCGCTTGAAACCGACACTGGCATTATCAGCCTGAAAAGGCAGCACAATAGACAAAGCCCTCTATACATGTTCCCCTCAGACGTGTTGCTGAGTAACAACTGCATCCATCCTTTGCCCACCCCACCTGAGCCCTGGTGTGCTTTCTGCAACTTCTGCCTCTGGGGGTGGCCTTTCCTCCCGGCCGGGCAGAGATCAGGAAGGCGTCCACCCCAGGGCCACCAAAACATGAATTATAATTGTCCACAATGCCCCATTTCTTAGAAATAACCATTTCAAATTGAGCTCTTTGGGATGATTGGCTCACTGACTAACTGGGAAAAATTTGGGGTACAGAGTAACCAGATATATTCGCAAAATTGTCAGATTCTTGACATAACAAGACCCTGGTTTTAGTTTCGTTAAAATTCTGACCAATATCAACCTCTTAGGTGTCAATGCCTATGGAAAGCACCTACACATGAGTTGAACCTATCCACACACATCAACACACATTACTCTTCTTGTTTTATCCATAAAGACGAGCTATAACTGGGCAGAGGCCCCAAAAATAAACTTTCTTTAGGTCCACATTAATAAATTCCTACTTTTCTTCCAAAAGGCTGTGGCACTCCTCTCTTGTAGAATGTGCTTTGAATTATTCTTCTTATATGAGCTAGCAACGAGACTGGTATTTAATAAAAATATCACTAATGGAACTGTTACATGTTAAAAGGTTTGTTGTAAAAGAATGTCAGCTGAGCCCAGGTAAACTTGGGAGAAGAACACGAATACATCTTTTAATATTGGTGTTCCTTTCATAATTAATAGAACAAAAATATGAAAAAAAAATATCCTAGATGCTTCAAGACCTTCTACTGAAAGATATAATTATTCAACACTCTTGCTGGAAAGAGAAGGAAAAGAGCTTCACATGATAATAGAAATTTGGTTCTGATTAGATCATTTGCACTTTCAAACTCCTTTCAACTGTATATTTTTGGTGTTTATCCTAACAAGATCTAAGATATTTAAGATAAGCAATTTGGAGATAACTATAAAATTAAAAAGCCATAGGTTTTTATAACTTTTTAAGAGGTACAGATATTGATATAAACCCAAAATGACAAATAAAACCATGATAATTTATTTTTACCTGCATCTATGTATCTCCCAATTCTGGAACATACAAAATAAGTAATGCAACTGTCTATATTCTATCCGATTTGAAAATAAGTAAATTTCAATAAAATTTAAGAATATTTTTCTTATTTTTTAGCTATAGTTTTTAAACTAAAGATATTTCAATATGAAAAGTAAAAGAAAAAAAAAATTCCAAACAAACCCAAAACAGTGGGTGCTTAAGCAAGCACCAGAACCAAATAATTTGATATTCACTTCCTGCTGTTAAATATTTACATCATGTAATTTAAAAACTTTATATTATCCTATTATTAAAAATAATTTATTTTATAATATAATATTTATGTTGTATGTCTCTACCACAGACCACAGTGGTACCAAAGTAGTCATTATGTGTTTTTAGAAGTAATAGGGAATGTTTAACATGAAAAGGAAGAGGGGCAGGGGAGGG